ACAAAGGAAAAAGAAAAAAAGCGCGCACACACACACATTTTATAATTTGATTGGCACACAAGATTTGAAAATTTGCGCCAAATGTGTTTTTATTATAATAGGAAAGATATATTTTTTAATGGAACAAAAAAAAAAATTCGTAAAAAAGATAATTTGAATTGAGACGGAAGAACTAAGGAGTATATTGTATAGTAACAAATTTTAATAACAATCGGATCTACATTTTTTGAATGTTAATCCAACATTTATTACTATCAGTTGTGTAACATTTACATTAATCAAAAAATCATCAAAACTATCAAATTTATATTTTCTAACCTTCAACATTAAGACAATCAACACAAACAAGTTTCAGCCTAACAACTGATGATGTGTCTTCAATAATTGAACGAGTTTCTCCAATATCTCAACCAATAATGAACAGTATTGTAACAAGAATTCACTATCATCAAAATATTGAATTTTTCGAAAACAAAATCTTTTAAATTTTTGAAGTGAAATTTTTTTGGATGTAATGTTTTGTATAAAATTTATATGTTGAAAATGAAACTTTTAGGAATGTTTTCTTTTTTTTTTAATGAAAGCCTATATATACATTATATATGTATATATATAGGATTTGTTTGAGTTTGATTTTAAATTGGATTTTGTGTTCGAGTTTTGATTTAAAAAATATTTAAATATGATATTTTATGAACTAAAATAGTATATTTTTATCGAGAATTATGGGAGTTGAATAACATTGATTTGTGTTAAAAACACAAACCACACACCCATATATTTCTCAAATTTGTCCAATCATTTTTTGATAGTGTATTTTATTCCTATAAAATGTATGATGTTTACCATTTTATCTATATTCATTCAAATGCCACATAATAGTTTATGAGACAAAACTACCAATTACTAATGAGTATAAACTAAAATAGGATCGCACAAAATGAGCAAAAAAAAAAAAAATTGAAAAAAAACAAAAGGATACTAATCAAGTTTGAATTTAAGAACTTTCAATAAAATTTTGATATTGAACTTAATTAATTAATTTGCATATTTATGCTAGGTGAGTAGAAAGGGTAATATTAAATTGGTGACGTGACTAAAGATTGTAAGAAAATAATGTAGCCACTACTTTTTATAGTGGCCTAACATGATAAAATATATTAGGTAAATCATCACTTTGAACCCATAATTTTGTAGTCATAAGTTTTTTAAAGTATTATCTAAGGTTGTGTTTGTTTATAAAATTTCTTTAAAAGTTTACTATTCATCCAATTTTTTCTTTTCAAAAATATCAAATCAAATACCTATGTTTTATTTTTTATGTTATGTTAAAAATTAATTTTACATTCAAAACATAAAATCAATACCTATTTATATTACATCAAACAACTATTCAAATTCAAAATTTTTACTATTCAAATCCCAAACCAAAATTCAATCTCCAAAACAAACACACCCTAATTTTGCATTACCATCTTTTTGCATAAGTTACTGTATTTTATTCGCTTTTGCATAGTGAAATTCAAAGATGGTGTGATTGTTACACAAAATTAAAGACAAAATAATAATTATAAATAAATAATAAGTGTCTGTAGTTTAAGCTATGACTTTTGTAAATTGGGTAAACTGTTTTTTTAGTCCCGTAATTAGACTCCCATATTATTTTAGTCTCGTAAGTGGAGCCTGTCGCAAACTAGTTTCATAAGTGAAGAATTTTCGCTGTTTTAGCCCTCCGGCGCCGGAGATGCCCGCGTGGCTCGCCGAAGGTGACGTGTCTGCAGATCAGCGACACCTGGCGGACACCTAGATTTTTTATTTTTTATTTTTCATTTTTCTAAATTTTTTTATAACTTATTTTAAATTTATTTTTAATTTTATTTGTATTTTTTTAATTTTTTTATTTGGTCCAATTAAAAAAAATAAAAAAAATAATAAATCCACGTGTCCGCCAGGTGTCGCTGACCTGGCGGGACACCTGGCGGACACGTCACCTCCCGCGAGCCACATGGGCGTCTCCGGCGCCGGAGGACTAAAATAACAAAAAATTTTCACTTATGAGACTAGTTTGCGACAGATTCCACTTACGAGACTAAAATGATAAGGGGGTCCAGTTACGGACTAAAAAAACAGTTTAACCTTGTAAATTATAAATTCAAAGATGGTCCATTATGTGATCCAACAGTTTAACCAATTTTTTAAAGTGTTTTTATTGGTTTAGATTAATATATTATGTACGTTTTTTTGTTGCTTGTATTTTTATTTGTATTTTACATACAGTCTTAACTAATAAAATCATTAATGAAACAATAACCTATATAAGACAACAAAAATAATTGGCTTACATTAATAATCATGGGACTTTACCTATCATTTTTCTATGCTAAAATATTAGATATATAGAGAGAGAATAAAAGCAAAAATAATATACCACTAGTCTATAGACGTTATTTTGGCGTAGAACAATGTTAACGTATATTGAGGCTCTTTTTGACGCCACAACTTTAATTGGCTCGAAAATCTATGTCATTATACTTAAATTCATATTAACGTGGTGGTACAATATTTTTTACATCAAAATAACCTTTATAAGATAATGTATGAAATGTAACCCCGATTTTCCATTAACTAAAAAAATCAAGATCGTCATAATATAGATAAAAAGTTGAAAGAATTTTAAAAGAGTTCAGGATATCAAAACAAAATAATACTTGTGCATCCTAATTGTAAAGCAAATATAGTTTTGTTGGGATATAAAGTCTGATTATATCCTAAAATTTAGGGATATGATTTGGATATTATATTCTAAATTTAGATATATGATTTGGATATTATTGGCATAAGTTTAGACTATAAATATCCATGCATTCTCACTTTAACATGTATCTGCGTACTTTATAATAAAATTTCTGGCTTGGCAGCGCCCCCAGACATATATCATTCTGATCGAACTGGGTTACTAAATTCTTGTGTACTTTTGTTCTTGTTGTCTCATCTTAATTCAATGGAATTTCTGTAACAAGAGATATTAAAGTCTAGTTCGTTGGTAGGGTGGATTGGGAGGCATAAGATATTTATTGTGGCTGTGGAAATCCCTTGTGATCTGCGGAGGTGTCTTGTGTCGAAAGTCTCCTGGCGGTGTTGGGTCGGTCCCGACAATTGTGGTAGGTCAGGCAGCAGGTCCCTTTGTGATAGGCGGTGCAAGGTGGGCAGAGAAGGATAAGGATTTCGGCAAACGCAACGGACGAGATATTCGATGTGCTCTCACATCAAGTAAGCCTTGGGTTTGTTTGTGGGAGTCAAGATAGATGATCGTCGTGCTGTCAAGGTATTCGATGTAATTGAACTTTGGTTTTTTTTAAGATGCAGATAGAAGATTACCTGTATGGTAAAGATCTAGAGGCGCCGTTGAAGGAGAAACCCGAAGATAAAGAAGATCGACAGGAAGACGATTGTGCGGTTCGACTAACCCTTTGGGAGAATGTCTCGACTGAATTTAGATCTGAGACAAAGTGAAAGGGTGAACATCAAGAATGGTCAAAGTTGAAGCCGAATAACAACAACAAGGAAGATGCAAGTCAAGTGGCATGTTGGAACTGCAAGGGGCACTTGAAACGACAGTGCAGGGCACCGGAGAAGGATTAGGATTTAGCAAATGCAACGGAGGAGATATCCAATACGTTGATTTTGAGCGTCTGCAGTCCAATTGAGTCATGGATTTTGGTCTCAAAAGTGTCATTCCACTCATGCACTGATTCGGGAATCACGGAATCAGGTAATTTTGGTGTTGTTTATCTTGCAGATGATGAGACACTAAAAATTGTAGGTAAATGGATGGTTCGAATTAGAACACCGAATGTTGGGGAGTGAAGACTGAATAACGTGAGACTTGTCCCGGGTCTCAATGGAATCTGATTTTCGTGGGACAATTGGATAAGGTAGGTTACTCAATTGTTTTAGAAACTAAGTCGTGGAAGGTAACTCAAGGATCCATTGTAGTGGCCCAAGGGAAAAGAGATGGAACTCTCTACATTATGAAAATCATGCAAGACGGAATCAGTTCTATGGCCATAAATAATGACAAAAATTTTTTTATGGCATTCTCATCTTGGACACATGAGCGAGAAGGGGATAGGGGAGCTCATCTCAAAGGAAAGAATGTCAGGTCTCAAGTCCGTCGATATTGGAGCATGCGAGGACTAGTTATTTGGGAAGCAACAAAAGGTGGCATTCTTAAAGGGTATGAAAGACCTGGAAAAGGAAAAATTGGAATTGGTTCATACGGACTTACCGGACTAGCTCCTGTATCGACCCTTGGAGGCGCATAGTACTACACCGTGTTCATTGACAACGTCATAAGGGGGGTATGAGTATATCTCCTTAAGCGTGAATATGATGCTTTTTGATACGTTTGAGAGGTGCAAAGCACATGCAGTGGGAGCAGTGAGCCGATTTATGAGCAATCCTGAAATGAAGAAATCTTGCATTTCACTACTTCAATAATTGTAATGGTTGCCTTCAAAGATTGGAACCTCACTCGGCTGTGATTCCAAGTTTGTTGGGTATGATAGATAGTAGAAGGATTTGCAGAAAAAAACAAATCACGTGCTGGACACTATCCTTTGAAGATAACTTCTTTATTTTCTCCAAAATCAAGTAAGGAATACATCCATATGTATAACCAAGAGACTTTCTAGAAAACTTCATAGGACTCTTGATTTACATGCTATTACTTCGGGGGTGTTATTAATATTGGCAATTATTAGAACTTAAAAATCATATTAATTATTTTGAAAGTTAAAAATTATTGTTTCAACAGCAGATGAGGTTCAGCCATGACCTTAAGAAGACTTCTCTGACTTGCAACCATATATTGCGAAATACGGGTAAGAATCATCTTTGTGCATTGCGCTACAGTGATGAATGACTGTATTGTTTGCTTTATTTCAACCAACCAATGCTTTTTGGTGGGGCAAATAGTTTTCCTTTATTTATTGCTTGGCAGACAATCCTTTTTTATTTGAAAATGTGTGAATTAGAACCAACAAAAGTCACATTCTTTTAAAGATGGAAAAAAAAAAAAAAAAAAAGAAGGCATCGATAGTTCATAGATAAGTAATTGAGAACCATGGTTGAATGACTCTAGAGCAGCTCCCATTACAATCCTCAATATTCCATGTATGGTGATGAGCTACAGAATTCCTTGCTAGATATTTTTCATTTCTATCCAAACTTTGTCCGCCTGAATCTGGAGACATTTCAAAGCAATTAAAGCATTTCAATTTTTATTAAAAATAGGACAGGGCATAAGTTTATCAAGTGAGGGTTGTCTTTAGGACATAAACAAAATGCAAACATGTAGTTTGAGTAGTTTAGAATAAATTGGAAAAAATTAAATCATCCCAAGTGTAGAAAATCTACAGAATGGCGATGGATATGGAAGGAAGATGGTTACCCCCATTTGCCATAGGAAGACAATGTACTGATTCATGTGTTTTTGCATCTTCAATCTCGTGAATGCTTTGATAGCCTCATTTTTCAGCTTGCTTCCCGACAGCACCATGTTTACTAAAAACACATGAAAAGGTAGCAGCAAATAAAAATCAATACATGGCCCTAATCCTGATTTAGATAATCCGTCCATCTCAATAAAATATATACATTTTGAAGAGAGAATTGAAATACAAATTGCAAACTTTTTATAACTTGACAAAAACAATAAAAATAATTTAAAAGAAGTTGAAGATAGCCTGTGTGGTTTCATATATCTACTTGAGCTTCAGGTGTTGGAAGACGATCACCTTTCCATTGGCGATCCACACCCAAGGGAAAATACAAAGGAAAGAGAAACAATAATCTTACTAATATTTAAAAAACCATAGTGAAAAATGACAATATCACATCGAATTCTCAGGGCAAAGTCCTTCTTGGAGTCATTGAGCAGTTCAGCAACTACGTTCAACAAATTAATAGAAAAGTAGGTCCTACAAGTACAAATTATTGACGTTAAAAACATATTCATCAGGTAATCCGAAACGCCACAATGCAAACATCTAAAATAATCACTAAGATGGGTTTATCGATATATATATATATATATTGATATAAAAGAATAAGAAAAATACGAACACAATGCCAATGAAAAGCTATCATTGGATTACAAACTTGTTGGAAAATAAAGATAATACAAATACCATGTGATCTCAAGCAAAGAGATTACAGAGATTAACATGCTACATAAGTAAGGCCAAGATCAGTCAAAGTAGATGAATTGTCACCATTACTGGTGGAAAGACTTTGTAGTTGGTAGTTTGTTAACTTGAAATTAAAGGTAACTGTTAAAACCTCTGTACAAAAATAAACAAATTAATGTCTAAAAAGAACACGAATTGGAGTAATATATAATATTTGTCTGTTATTTTTATTAATATTAACTATAGTATTGTAAAGCTGTTGTTCGGCTGTAAAACAAGGCATGGTACAACTGCCTTCTTGTTGCTCTAACGATAGTGAAATTTCAATTCCTAATGAGAATAGTTTAAGAATCCATGTAAGACTAATTGACAAAGATGTAAAATTAAATCTACACAATTATATATACAAAGGTGTTTTGTGTCCTAATTTGTAATCAAATCAAAATTTTCTCAGTTAACTGAAAGATTGATTTGGTTCAGTTTGGCCATTCGATTTGAATTTTTTGCTCACCACTCTTTTGTAAGTAGAATGAGTATACTTGTATTAGTACTAATGAGATTGTATAATAAAAAAGAAAAAAGTCAAAGAAAAAATTATATATATATTTCAAATTAATTTTTTTTAGATATTATGAGTGGCCCATATATTTTTTGTCAATCCAATTTTTTAACACTTTGCACTAGAATTATGACCCAATCCAGAAAATCCATTATTTACCGAGATCAAATCTCAGCCATTGCATCTAGAGATATGAAGTGAGCCGTTGGATATGATTGGGGTTGTATATATTTATATCTTATGTTGTGCATTACTCCTTTGAGAATGCTCAATCTCCCTTGATTTGCAACAATTCAAGCATTAGAGCATAGGTTTGGCAAACGACTGCTGATTGAGCACCCCAACTGAAAATTCCAATTCTTTGAGGAAAAAACTATGAATGTTGGAGTATGAAGATAAGGACGTTCAAATCGCAAGAATGTGAGACTTTGTTAAGTCCGGATACTTGGAGGAAGAACCTGCTGAAACGAGATTGAGGGAGAATAAAATAAGAATTACAAGGCGTTGTTTTTCATATAACAAGTAGTTAACGACTCAGTCTTTCCGAAGATTTCGACACCTTCAATAGTGAAAGAAGCATGGAACACCTTGAAAATGGCATCTCAAGGATCTGCAATGGTTCTTATTGTGAAGCTTCAAATTCTCAGATGCGATTTTGAAACTGGGCATATGAAGGAGAAACAATGCACGATTTTCTTACTAGAGTCTTTGACATTGTAAGTCAAATGAAGTCCAATATTGAAACAGTCAAAGATCAAAATATAGTTACAATAATTCTTACGAGTTTGACTCCCAAGTTTGATCATGTTGTTGCTGCTATTGAAGAGTCAAATGATTTAGACATATTTCTTTGATGAGTTGATGGGTTCATTGCAATCTAATTAAGCGAGGCTAAGCAAATCGGAAGAAAAATATGAAGAGAAAGCTTTTCATGTTTAGGGTGATTCATTGAAACAGAAAAATGAGCCGAAAGATGCAGACATTAGAGGACATGAAATATGTTGATACCAGGGTAGGACTGGTCCTAGGAATGCACACCTTAGTGATAGGAGCAATAACTACCGTGGAATAATTTACAATGCTATTACTGTAAAAGGTTTAGACATGTACAAGATGATTGTTCGAAGAGAGAAAAACAGGTTTCTTATGCAGAACAATGAGATGACAAACTCAAATTTTTTATGACCAGTTGAGGCGATACAACCACTTCTTATAATATATGCTTTTTGGATAGTGGTTATTCTAATCACGTGACAAGGTTAAAGTCATTGTTTAAGGAGCTTGACAACACTTAAAATTACAAGTGAGGCTCGGAGATGATAAACATGTACAATTTGAGGTCAGAGGCATCACTGAAGTCATGAATAATTGGGGTAATTTAAAGCTCTTTTATGATGTTTACTTTGTTCCTAAGTTGACTCAAAATTTATTGAGTGTTGGGCAACTAATTGATACCGGATAACCCATCTTATTACAAATCTTCATGTCTGATTAGACATAAAAAATCTGGTCAAGTGATTTCCAGTATTCATATGAAACCAAACAATTATTTCAACTTGAGGTGTCGAAAGTTGACGAATGCATACTTTCTGTCAAAGTAGCATGCGAGTCTAAATTGTGGCATTTACGGTATGGGCATTTAAATATAAATGGTTTGAAATTGTTGAGTCAAAAGAATATGGTTTATAGCCTACCTAAAATTGAATATTTGAAGTTATATGAGGTCTATGTTATTGGAAAACAAAGAAAGAGATTTTTTTCCGTAGGAATTTCTAGATTTGCATCTACTACCTTGAGCTTATACATGAAATTTCGGTAGAACCAATGAAAACAAAACCTCTCAGCGGGAGCAAATGGCCTATCGACCGGATCCCATCGGAAGATTTTTCAATTCAATTATCGTTGATGGTGTTGATAGAGAACATTTCGGTTGAGAAAGATTATTAGAACTGCTTCCACTTGAACCATCAAAAGATACTTTTCTTTTTTAAAATTTCTCCATAAAGCATAAAACCTTATTTTATAAATGTTAAAAAAAAAGAAGTAGAAAATTATCAAAATCCATTATATATTTTAAATTTTATTCTAATTTAATAATAAATAACATAAACTCTCTTAATAAAAAAAATTAAAATAATTTAAATCGAAATAGAAAAAGAACAAATAATTTATGAATTAGAATCGAAATGAAAATAAAGTATAAGAAATCAATAATCTCGTCTAACCAAAGGGAAATCTTCAAAGATACTTAGATTGAACCGAAGAAAAAAGCAAGAGAGGGGGTCAATGCTAATGAGTTTGGGTTATTTGATTTATGCCCAATTTTTATATAAATAATATATATAATTAAATTAATTATATATTTTTACAATAATATAAAATAATAATACTGATATTAATAAAAAAATTATTGATAATATAAAATATAATAATATTTATTTTATATTTACTTTTTTATAATTAATTAGTTTAAAATTTCACTTTATTTGAGTCATTCATTGAATATGTATTGTTGGATTTGCATTTACTTTTCAAACATGACTTTTTGTAATAAATATATTTTATCTTAAAAATAACATCGGTCTTATCGATTAAAAATATTTTTTCTCTCTCTATATAAGTAGCAGTTTTCTGTCTTGATATATATACCCTATGTTCACACTTGAAGAAAGGAGATCTAAAATATATATTCCTTGACATTGTTACAAATTTTAATCTCCTTTGCTCTAAGGAGATTTGAGTTTCTTTCTATTTACTTGCGGGCCTTTAACGTTCTTTACTGTTCTTTCTCGTGGATCTAACAAAACTGAGGTCATGCCGATCAAAATGAAGTGTCCTGCCTTTTTCACGTTTTATTTTAAGAAAATCGGAAAAAGCAAACAGGTATGTGTATTTTCCATTTTATTTCATTCAATCTTGTTTTTCTATTGCAAACGAGTTTTAGATCTATAAATCTATGATTCAACCTACGCATCTAGAGATATCTTGAATTAAGTTTGGGTTTTAGGGTTTGTTTGGTTGATGAAGATATACTTTCTTGTTTTCTTGATATATTATTTGGGATCTTTTCAAAAGTTGCAGAAGGGAGCGTGAGTCTTGTTCATTGTTTTCGCCATCAATTTTGTATTTGATCTATGAATTTGAAATTCAATTTATACCTTTAAATATATGTCAAATGAAAGAGGAATTCTGGCATTTGTTAGCTTGATTCTTATTTTTCAATGTGTTATTTGCGATATTTTTTTAAACTTATACCAAGTTGATGTGATTTCGTTTTTATTTTCCTCATAAATTTAATATTTAAAATAAATTTTTTTATGGGCAAATCATTTGTAAGAAAGAACTTTCTAGATCCTCTCATTTTTTTTCTTTTATTTTTCATTTTAATTTATTTTAATACCAGTTGTATTTTGTTTCTCAGAGTATATACATTATTTCAACATTTTATATTTTATTCGTAATATAATTATAAAAGGAGTATAATATCCTCTTTATTTTTAGTTCATAAAATGACAATAAAACCCTTCATCCTTTTCTTTTTCCCTATCGGTTCTCTTTTTTGAATTGAATGGATTATGTTTTCTTCTTTGTTCACTTTCTTTCAATTGCAAGGATATTCAAAATAATTTTCTTTGTAAGCGAATGTAAGTCTTGATTTAAATTTCAGAATATAGTTTTGGCAAAATGATCCACAAAACCCTTTATTCCTTCACCTATACATCTCTTCAGTTCGGCTACGGTGCTAATATTAGCACGATATTAATTTTTTCAAATAACATTAAATTCCAAAGTTCAGGAAATAACGATTGAGAGTCTAAAAAGAACACATTTTAAATATACCATATGCTTTTATTTGATGGAGCATGTACAATATGGACTCTTGATTGATGTCTGAAAAAATTAAGAAGTTTAAATCAGCACCTCAAATGCCGCCCTCTATATATATATCACATAACTTTTATATATATATATATACGGTCAAATTCTCTGTCTTCCTTGGGCCGTTTTAATTTTTCTTATTTTTATTATTTTATTTTCAAGATTTTACCATACTTGTTCGGGTCATTAGGGATAAATTTTCTCACAAATTTTTTCTTTAAGAAAATAAATTTCATAGAATAGTTATCCTTGAATAATCATAAATAAAACCAATCGGGGAAATGCAATGACAGATCCGGACGGGCAAATATATATATATATATATAGGAGAACTGAAGAATAAACTTATATACTACTATTTTTACTACTGAGTTTTTCTTCTTCTTCTTCTTATTCTTTTTATGACTAAACTTATATACTTTTTTACTATTCTTTTTTTTTTTACCTTCCCTTCCTTTCATCATTATATCTTCAAGAACACATCAAAATAATTAGAATTTTTTTTACGGTGTTTAAATTTTAATATAAAGGTACACAATATTTTGTGATTGTATAGTACTTTTCATCTTGTGTTAGTTTGAGTTATGCATATTATATGCACATTTTATTTATACATGTGGCTTGTAAAATCAAATTTATAAAATACTCATACAATTATATTACGTATATATTTTTCAAGAATATCTTGAATAGTTGAATTTTAATCTTTATTTATTTTTTATTTTTTTAATAGTAAGTTAGATGTGATGTTTTGTGGGGTGAATAGTGTGTTTTTACCAAGAATAATGAAGAATGCATAATAATAAATGGAAAAAAAAAAAGAAAATCTTAAAGTAGACAGATATTAATATTGCATACTCTAACATGGAGCATATATCTTGCAACAGAGCATTCCGAATGAATTTATAACTCAGTTGGATGAACCGTTGCCGAAGGCAGTATGTCTACTTGGTCACTACAACATGCCATGGATTGCATCTGTGCAAAACGATGAGAATAAGTGGTGTTTGGTGAAAGGATGGAGTAAATTTGTGAAGGACATGAAGATTGAGGAGGGAGACTTTTTGTTGTTTGAATATTTTATTAGAGGGTTTTTCGATGTGAAGGTATTCGACCCTTCTGGGATGGAAAAGGTTATAGAAAAAAATTCATGGGAGACTACTAATAAGGACAATAAGACTGCTGATGAATGTGACTATAAAATAAAAGTAAGAAATTCTAACAATATTGATGAAGAAGTGGATCATTACGCAAAATGGGATCATTATTTTTATGATGAAGATGAGGCAACAAGAGTTCACGAGCAAACCAAGAAGGATGTTTGTGTGCCGGAAGATAATCTTCAACTGACTGAAGAAGGTCAGGAAGTCAATGAAGGGGCCGAGGGACATGTCCCCAAAGATAGTGTTGAAATGATCGAAGAAGATAATGAAGACGATGAAGAAGCCAATGAAATCGATCAAGAAAGCGATGAATATGAGCCTAGCGACGATGTTGAAGTGTCTGATGAATCTCTGCCTGTTGATAGTGTTGAAAGGACCGAAGAAATTCAAGAAGCAATTGAAGATACTAATGTTCAAAACATGGGTACTTTCGATACTCTTTTTTTTTTCAAATATTTAGCGATTGAATAATAGTACATAATCAATCCATTATAATAAACATGGATATTTTAAAATATTTTTTCTTATAACTACAAATAGTTTATTGGATATTTAATTTGATTTGTTTTTCAAACTGTCTCTTATAATATAATTTACTAAATAAAAAGATTTTTTGCATAATTTTGTTTTTTTTTTTTTTGTTATTTATTTATTTTCTTTCCAGTTAGATAGACTTCATTATGATGAAATTTATCAATTTCTTCAAGATATGTAGATTAACAATATGACGCAAATATTGTATTTACATTATATTTTGGAATATGAGAAGTCTCCATGTTCGATATAATGAAATGGCCATTTCATGGTTAATGCTGGTTTATTTCATAGATGAGACTTTAGAAAGAACAGTAAGAACAAGAGATCAGCAAGATTCACAAAGAAGATCGACGGACCTGCTTTCGCTGCGCTACGGAATAGATATTTTCAGGGCTGGTCTAGCTCCAAAACCTCAAAACCCTTACTTTGTCACGGGACTAATGGATAAACGAAAGGGCAATTTGGTAAGATTATGTAATTATATTTTTAATAAGTTATTCAATATTTAGTTGGCCGCAATATTTTCAATTGTTGTGTTTTGATACATGCAATGGTTTACAGAGATAGAAAAGGAGCTTTAGGTTGTAAGTAAATACTTTCGTAGTTTATAGGCAGTTGGTTTGTTTATTAGCTACAACTATTTTCATTACCATTTTTATTGGGAAGAACTAGGTATGGGAGTCAATACCTTACTATATGTATATACAGAGCATGATATACTACTACTTCAAAAGTGATTTGGTTGTGTTGTTTTAGCGTGTTACGAATAATGAGATTTTTTGTTTTTTGTTATAGTTATGGAAAATTAAGAAAATATTTCGAAAAATTATAATATTGTTTGGATAAAGTAATTTTTTTATATTTTTAAATAATTTTGCAAGAATAAATAGTATATTTTTATTAAAAAATGTGATTTTTTTTTTTTTTTTTTGGTGGGGAAGATAAAAGAGTAAACTATTTATTTTTCTTGTGTTTTTATTTCATTTTGGTTTTGATCTCATTTTCATATATGTGTTTATTTTATGTAAGAACTTTAGTTATTTATTGTTTGTGAATAATAGTATATTGTTGCATTGCTTGTTTTGTTTTGACATGTTCATCTTTTCCTATATTTTAGTACATAAATCAATATTGTCTTTAAATTATTGTTTCACTACTCTATATTATTGTATACATAACATTTATCTATTCTTGTCTCAGTTTGTTCCCAAAGATGTAGTGAAAGATAACGATGATATAGATTTTTCGAAAAAGGCGTATTTCATAGATCCAACGGGAAAGAGATTTGTGGCAAAATGTAAAAAATGGAAGGATGGAAGGGTCGCAATATCAGGAGGATGGAGAAAACTATGCAACTTGAATTTTATAGAGAAAGGTGATAGATGCATTTGCGAGCTCGTGGAGGGAGAAGACGAGCTAGTCATCCATGTTACTGTTGTTCGTGGCAATGATATTCGAGGATAAGTTGGAGATGTTATCTAGGAGGATGCAAAATTATTTTCGATTAACAACTATGATGCATAAGTTTTATATTGTTTAGACATCAAGAACTCTTTTAAAATTATTGCAACTTTCTATCTATATTATGACAGACTTGCTTTATTTTGTTCATGGAAAATCGGGATTATATCTCATACATTACCCTTTCTATATTACCACAGCTTTTGGAGCTAAGTTAAGTTGTGGCATATAAAAGAGCATTGATATAACTTAGCATGGTTGTGTGCCAGAAAATTTTTTATAGACTACTGCTATATTATTTCTACTTTTATTCTCTCTATATATATATATATATTATTTTTCAGCACAGGAAAATGGTAAGAAAAGTCTTACATTTGATTATTAATGTAAGTCAATTATTTTTGTTATGTAATTGGTACGTTATTGTTTCATTATTTATGTTATGAGTTAAGATTTGATGTAAAATACAAATAAAAATACAAGCAAAATAAATGTACATAATAGATAACTTGTGTTCAGGTGAAATCCTATAATTGAGTTTGAAACAAAATTTTCAAAAAGTGTATGCCAATGAAATTATAATATTGTTTTTTTTTTTTTAAGATATAACACATATTACAATTGAATGAGAGAAGCTTTTTGCAAGAGCATGAGACGATGCTACGATCGGTTTCATCATTGAGAATGTGTCCAGAGAAACGACCAAGAGAATATAAAAAAAAAAAAAAAAAATCCAATTGTGTGATGAAGAAGAGGATAAAAAGGGTGTGTATTTACTTTTCTGTAAAAATAAATAAATAATATTTGAAACTATGAAATAGCATATATATACAAAATTTGTATTCAAATTGAATTTCACTACAAAAAACATTAATTTGCGAAGGAAAAATTCCTCGCAAATCAAATTATTTCACTCGCTAAATCTATTAGTGAAGAAAAACGCAAAGGAATAAAATCCATCGCCATACATGTGGTAGCTAATCAGGATTCAAGGAAATATTCCTCGCAAAAATAACAATGGATTTTTCCAAGTGAATATTCTGTTGGAAATTTTTGCAAAGGAATTGTGTGAGCGAATAGTCACTACAAAAAAATAGTATATTTGTAACGGAATTTCGCTCCTAAAGTTCACGTAGCTAACGTAATTCTGTCCCTAATTTTGTCTCTAATATCATTAGTAACAGAAAAAGTTGATTTAAGAACGAAAAAATCTTGTTACAAAATTGATATTTTTTTATTGAGTCCTTCGCAAAATTCAATCTAGTATGGCCACTTTTCCTTCGCAAAATATTTTTCCATTGATTCGAATTTTCAAGGAAATGAATTCTTCCACAATAAAATAAAAATATATTTTTAAAATTTTTATTTTAAATCCTAAATGTAATAATTTATTAGAAGTCATAACATATTTTACAAACAATAAAATTTTAATATTAAAGAGTAAGTGTAAGAATAAAAAATATCTAATTTACCTATTATTACTTACAAAAATCTTTTTCTTCAAGCATTTTTTTGAAGCAAATTCATCAATTAAATCTTCGTAACCAATCGTATCCAAAATCTCGTTCTCATTTGCCACCAAAGCTAGTCCATTAAGTCTTTCATGTAACATAGACAACGCAAGTAAGATTAAAATAATTTTATTTTTGGAAAACTTCTTTCAACTGATGTAGTTGTTACTGGAATAGTTAATAATTTTAATTGAAAAACACTTTTGGTTATTTCGGAAACTACCTGTATGGTCCTTCTGAAAAAGTGTTTTTCAGCTTCAAAATTGCGTCTACATTTAGACAGAATTCAATGCAAACACATATAACGTGCTTCTTTTAAAAGTAAAAGCCAAAAGACCCTAGCAAAAGTCAATTGAAACAGGACTTTAAAATATGTTTTTAAATATTTCAAAAACTATATGTGAAAAAAATATATATTATATGGATATTATTTTGTTTATAGAGTAAAGTTTTATATGTAATGAATAAATAGAAATAAATATTTATTTATAATTAATATAAACTAATTTTATAAAATATGAAAAATTTTAGATGTATTTAAAAATATTTTATTATTGAGGAGTAAGATAGAAATATATTGGTTTTTAGTTGGTCTTACAAAATGTATGATGTATTTTTAAATGTAGTTAAAGATATTTGATAATTGAAGATAGAAATAGAACGATTTTGAATAGGTCATATGATAACAAGAAAGTTTGTTTTAGGCAATATTAGGGATTTTAGATGAATTAAAATTGGATTGGATACTTATTTCAATTGATCAGATATAGAATTTATGGAAGTGATGTTGTTATAAACTCTAAAATGTTATATCATAATTGATTTTATATTCTTTAATTGATGAGTTTCTAGGTCGAACACATGGACTTTAAGTCGTGAAATTAAACCAAGAAATACTTACTGAGTCTGGCTGAATCAGAAAACCAGTAAGGGTTGCTCTCTAGCAAGTGAGCCAAGAGCTGTAAAATGCCAAAAAATAAATAAAGCAGTAAAGATGAGCGGCAGCGGTAGTGAGCGGAGTGACCGTTTGCGAGCGGTGGATGCTTAGAATGCTTAGATGAGCAGAGTGGTAAGGATGGTGAGTGAGCAGCATATATGTTTACGAGGGATGATTGATGGTGATAATGGACATGTGAGCGATAGTAAAACTATGGATAGGATAAACATAGATGTTTGTGTGTGATCTATGCATTCTTTAATGGCTAGATTCTCATGGATGAAATGAGCATAAGATGAAGGTAAAACAGTGAAACATATATGTATAATGCGAAATGACAGAAGAAATGTATGTGATCATACTTGTTCATTAAAGTCATATTCTTGATTCTCTGGTACTTGACTATAAGGGATTTACAACAAAACTTCAATGACATCCAAATTTAGAACATTATAAGCAAGAAAAGCTACTGTCACTGGACGTTTCTGAGACCCAATAGACAAGTGTCAATGTCCAATTAATCATTCCAAAATATGTTTTATTAGTGGTTTTACCCTTATGATACCTCTCTTTAATCAAAATTGAGTTCAAATAAGTAATTAAGTAGGTCGAAAAGGCTCCCGCATACTTAACTACAATGAACTATCTAAAATCTATTAATGAATACAACACAAAATTAGAATTTGATAATAAATTATTCAGAAGAATTTTCCACAACAAGTGAAAATTCTAGACTTAAACAATTAAAAACATACTTGAATTTGGGAATGAAATTGCAAATGTAGAGATCATGATATTCATTTATCAACTATGAAAGCAGTGAATCTACATTAAAAAAATAGTAAGCAAAGCGATAACAAAAGCGATAAATTTTCCTACAAAAGCAACTAAAGTGGGTGGTTAGGGGATGAGAGAATCTCAACTCCCTCGACCTCCTCTAACTAAAAGAACTCCCTTACAGATTGGAGCTCTCAAAAATTGAATAGAGTAAAAAAAGCAAATAAAACACTTGGATGCAGAGTGTAGTGTATGGTGAGTTGTATATTTAAAAAAAAAATTGGTCCTATTTATAGAGTTTTTGGATCGGCAGTTGGCAAGAGTTGAACGGTTACCGAGCGGCAGTTGGAAGTAGTTGAAAGGCTATTGCAACCGTTGAGCAGTTACGCGGTTGATCAGTTGGAACTGCCCTAACTCCCAGCTCGCTCGCTCGCTTGTTGAACTGATACGGCCAGACACAGATCTTCCTTGCTTGCCATTCTAAACTTCGCTTAGTTGGAGGGCATCACCGCAACTAAAGCGGTATTGTCGTTGCTAGCCGGTAACTAAATGGCTAACTATTTGAAGATCAATACTTAGACAGACTTTGATACTTCAAGATCTTGCTCGTCAGCGATAGATGTTTGGCTGGACTGGCTCGGGCAAAAGCGGAAAGAGCATTGCTTGCCACAGATAATTGCACCATCGCTCGTCTTTCATACTTAGACAATTTCTGGGCTAGCATATCGCTTAAAAAGGCTAAAAACACCAATAATCTCCACAAGTGGATTTTCGATCATATCAAGCGAAACAAATCAATAAAATATGCCGTAAATCAGATATTGTGATACTTTTCACATAAAAATTCAAGAAATGCACAGTTTTATCAAGCAATAAATATGCTATTATTTGGAGTTAATACCATACCTAATGTCTGATATACTATGAAGTTAATTAATTTGATCTATATTTTTAAATATATTTTAAATTAATATAATTTACTATAAATATAAACATGTCAACTAAGATGGAACATACTAAAGTGAAAAATATGTCAATTGTGTTGGGACCGAGTGGAGGTGCCTATATAAATGATCTTCTCTTTGATTCTTCAACGCAAACTCAAACATTCAAACTCTTCCTCTTGTTATTCTCTCAAATCTTTATGGCCGTTCTTAATATTCCGTAAAGCCATCTTAGCCTTCTAGAAAAGCTCGATTCCTTTCTCATTTTTTTTCGTTATAGCTTTTGACTTATTGCGGTGCCATTTAGCCTGGAGACGAAATTTTTTTTACCTTTGTAGACAAAACATCATCATCAGAGACACTATTGAGATGTAATTTGTCTTGCGGGCTGAGGGTATCATCTACTCATCTTTATTTTATTTACAGTCATCCGCAACATATTCTTATTCTGCATAGCATATCCTCTACATATAGGACAAATTTTCTTTATTTATCAGCAGCATATAATCAACTCCAAGAAAGCATCACTAAATTTTGTTGCTAATTATTTTATTGTATTATTTATTTTTCTTTATTTTATTATGTTGCATTGTATTATTACTATTATTTTTCAGCAATCACAACACAAATTATATTATCATTTTCTAATATTGTATTGCGAGATGGCATACGAGCAAATATTTAATGTTGTTGAAGCTCTTGGAAATCTCACTATAGTCTTCATCAATGCTAATGGAATGACACAAATGCATGTTGATCCAACATTATAATATTCTCAATAGTTCACTCGTTATGACTCATTATGGGCTCATGGCATTTATATGGTGTATAAGACAACTTGGGTAATACTTATTATTTGATATAATGTAAATTATTAAATTAGGTTAGTCAACGGGCCATTTCAAAACAAGTTTAAGTAAAATATTTATTTTTGATCGGCTTATAGGAAATGGCATGGTAGATGGTTGTTATCGTTAAAAATGTGGAACATTTTATCATTTTGGCCATCATGTGTTCGATGAACA